ATTGAAGAAGAATGAGAGAGTTATATAAGAGAGTTATATAAGAGAGTGAAATATCGAATGAACAATTCATTCGTTCGTTCTATATATATATATATCGATTTTTTTTTACTTTATTTCAAATCAATAACTTTACTTTATTTCAAATCAGTAACTTTACTTTATTTCAAATCAAATTATTTTTACAATTATGTAAACGGGTAATGATGTAAAACAAAAATCGAAAAAACAAATGACATATCATAAATTAAATAAATAACTATAAATGTAAATATTAAAAATATTTTTTCATAGTATATAATATATAATAATATAATTAAGTCAAAAATATTCAATATTGGGCTTATTTCGAAGGTATTGACGCGACGATTATAATGGTGTAACTTGTTAAAATTAAAACGTATTTTTTAAACATATTTTAATTGATATACGATTATGTATGTTAATTTGATCAGGGTATAAAATAAAAAATTTAAAAAGAAAGGATATAAAATGAACTAATTAACTAATTATAGGGGTATAAAATTTAAATTTAAATTTTTAAAATTAAAAAAAGTGAATTCGGTGTGAGTGTGTGAGGAGAGTGATTGTGAGGGAGAGTGTGTGAGAGGAGAGGTGTGTGTGAGGAAAGTGATTGTGAGGGAGAGGTGTGTGAGAGGAGAGGTGTGTGTGAGAGGGAACATGTGTGCACGGGGTAGAAAGTGTTCGCAGAGGGTGACAATATCAACCCCCTAAAAAATAGAGAGGTTGTAAGGATTTATTTATTTTCTACATATAATTTTTATTTAATTTAAAGATTTATTTATTTTATAAAGTATTTGAAAAAAATTCTTAAAAATCATCTTTTATACAAGAAGTACTCTTTATTGATGTATATTACTTAAAATTCAAGATTACAAGTAAATTGTGAATAAGTACAACTTATTAAGTTTCATATTTGAATTCGTGTAACTAACTGTAGATAAATATAATCAAATAGAGAATAAATATTTTATTTTAAATATAAAAAATCTAAAATATAATTAGGATAATCATTGACTTCTAACAAAAAATACTTAATCATTATCTTTATTAAACCAAAAATAAAAAAATTGAATTAAGAAAATACACAAAAAAAAAAAAAATTTAAATAGTTAGTTTGGTACTAATATCAATATTATTTGTTTCAATTTTTTATGATATCTTCATATTTATATTTTATTCAAAAATAAAAACATTATCGTTTTCTCAAAACCACATAAAACCATATTATAACATCGACTGAGACAAAAAAGAAAATAAAACAAAACATAATCGAGATGTATCTCGCTACATTGTGTGGGTACCCTTTTAGTATTTTAAAACAATGTTTATAGTATGACCATTAGAGCAAATCTTTTTTAAATCTCTAAAATTTCTAATTTTAAAAACACGAAAATACAGATGAAAAAAGTGTAACATTGATGTTAACTTAGAAAAATGTTGTTTAATATAATTTGTTTGACTTCGATTATATTTTTCCAACAGATTTTTCACGGTAAATAAAAAGAGATTTTGGAGTTTTTTTCTTGTTTTTTTTTAAGTATAATAATATTTATAAGCAGTAAATATAACAAATAAACTCACATATCCTCCTATTTTTTAGAAGGTTTGAACTCTTAACCTTCTACAAGACCAATGATTACAATACCACTAGGCTAAAGACCATTTAATTTTTTTTTTTTAATTTTTTGGCTTCAAGAGATCTTTCAAAAATAGAAATCTCCAAATTTAAAGATTCTTGTATTAAACTCAAATTGCTTTTCTATTTTGAAAATTATATCATAAATTTTATTATATCTATTAAATATTTAGTAAATTTAATAAAATATTATTTCTTTTTCTTAAAACATCTAATTTAAAAACTTCATATTGGTGAGAATAATAATTAAAAAAGACTTGGGATCACGTGAAAACAGCATGTTTCCGTGAGACCCCTGAGACCATTTTTTTTACAATTGAAACTTCACAGCAAAACGCTGTGAAGGAAAACACTATGAAGGTTCGAATTTTTTTTTATTTTCATGGTGTTTTGTTGTGAAGTTTCAAGTGCAAAAAAGTGGTCTCACGAGTCTCACGGAAACAAGTTCGTCTCACGTGAACTCAACCCATTAAAACAGGTATTTCTCTTTTCTAAGAAATCATTTTAAAGAATTTTTTTCAAATTTAAAAACTATGTTGGAACAAAAATTTAGCTTAAAATCCTTATTTTTTTTTTCATTTTAAAAAAAATCAGTTAGAGATGCTCTTATTGCATTTTTTTATTGATTTTTCAAAAATGAATAAACTATTTAAAGTAGATGTAATTTTATTTTAAAGATTTTAATAATTTATCTTTTATTTTTAAGAAATTATAAAAAAAAATAGTGGACATTAGGGGTGAACAGCGGAACCGGGTACCCACTTGCGGAACCGGAACTGTCTTGGAACTGCCAATTCCGGAACCGGAACCGATATGAGTGATTTCGGTTCCTAAAATACCGAACCGATTGAGAATGGTCCCGATTCCGGTTCTCAAGTTTTCGGAACGTTACCCGCTGGGACCGGTTTCGGGACCGGGTACCCGGTATTTTTTAATTTAAAAATAATAATAAATTTTTTTTATATAATTTGTGCAGTTTTTTTTTATGTAATTTGTGTAGTTTTATGTTAAAAGTATGTGCAGTTTTTTATATATTTTGTGCAGTTTTTTATACAAAATTGTGCAGTTTTTCTATATAAAATTTATGTAGTTTTTTGTTAAAAATATGTGCAGTTTTTTACGAGTTTGTGTAGTTTTTTTAACACTCTATTATTCACAAGTACCATACGAGGTTGAGGATGCGATGGGTATGCAAGAAGTTGAATGAGATTCAGAATTTGAGATAAAATGATTCGTGTTTTTTCAAATTGTATGTTTAATTGAATTCGTAGTACGTAATCGTTAAACTTTGAACATTTATAATTATAGTATGTAATCGTTAAACTTTCAACATTTACTATTAGTCTTTTATGGTTTGTAATCGTTAAACAATATTTGTAACCATTTAACAGTATAATTTGTGTTCTTATTTATTTATTTAGTGTTTTGGTAATGTTTTATTTTTTATTTCTAAATAACAAAATTTTAATATTTTAAGACGCGGATACCCGGCGGTTCCGGTTCCGGTTCCGGTTCCGGTTCATGTTCCAAAAATTCAAGAATCACTTTAACCGATTATTGTCGATTCTGATTCCTGTTAAATAGGACAGGTACCCGTCTATGCTCACCGTTAGTGGACATGTTCTTAGAGCATTTATAATTTCTTTAAAATAAATTATCAAAACAAAAAATTCTTACAAAAGCTTACATTTAACATACTCTTTATTTTAAATATTTTTAAATTAATTATATTATTAAAATATTTCATATATTTAATAATCTCCACAAACTTTAGATTAAGTTGAAAACAATTAAAATATATTATCTCTCATGACATTGAATTTTCCAAAGTTTTTTTTTTTTTTAAANCATGCATATATATAAATACTAGAAGGGTACTTGCACAATGCAGCAAGATACATCTCGATTTTAATGTTTATTTTATTATTTGTATCTGTCGATGTTATAATACGATTTTATGTGTTTTTAAGAAAACAATAATAATTTTATTTTTGAATAAAATATAAATTTGAAGATATCATAAAAATTTGAAAATATATATATATCAATGTTAATGTCAAATCAACTATATAAAGTTCTCACTTTTTATGTAATTTATTTAATTTATTTTTTTATTATAATTTTTTTTATTAAAGGTGCCCTTAATTTGATAAATAAAAAATAAACAAAATTTTAAAAATATTATTTTTATTATTATATCTTTTTAATAAAATCCATTAACGTTTGTGATTATGTTTTCACTTTTTAAAACTTTGTACTGTTTCGAGATTAGTCGGCAGGGGCCCAAACAACACTATCCATTTCGTCAAAGACCTTCCAGCCTAGTGGTAAAGGCTTGGGCATGGCATAGTCATGAACCCGAGTTCGAGCCCTGGAAGGGGAGTGTTGGCGACATTTAAGTGGGGCCATGTTTAGCCTCCAAATTTGCCGGGGATTAGTCGGCCTTTGGCCCGGACACCCTTACAAAAAAAAAAAAAAAACACTATCCATTTCTAGTTTCGAATTCTCATTAACGGGTGGAAATTCTTTTGTACCTTTTTCTTTCTAAGGGACGGGGGTGTATAAAAACCGCTTCAGTAATTAAAAAGAAAAACATAAAGTATTAGCAAAGGGTATTTTCTTGAATCACACCCATCGAAGGTCTTTATAGCGTTGGTTAATAGTCCAAAAGATTTTGGACAAATTGATTATTGATAAACGAAAAATAGAAAGAACTGAATGTAAAGGGTCTTTGGCCTAGCAGTATGTGAGTCATTGGTCTCCTAGAAGTCAGGGGTTCAAACCTCGTCAAATGTGAGAAGGGTGTGTGAATTTATTTGTTTCTATTTGCCGTATATAAATATTATCTATACTATATTATAAAGCATTTGACAAAAACTTTTAAAACCCACTTTTTATGCGTAAGGTACTGTTTATTAATGCATATTACTTAAAACTCAAGATTGCAAGTAGATTGTGCGTAAGTACAACTTATTATAGCTCCATATATGAGTTCGTGTAACTAACTGCAGATAAACATAATCAAATACAGAATAAACATCTTATTTTAAATATAAAAAATCTAAAATATAATCAGGATAATCATTGAGTTCTAACAGAATACTTAATTATTATCTTTATAAACTGTTATATTATTAAACCAAAAATAAATTATTTTGTTATTAAACTTAAATTAAATTAAAAAAAATTAATCTATACTATATTATAAAGTATTTGACAAAAACTCTTTAAAACTAATTTTTATACGTAAAATACTGTTTATTAATGCATATTACTTAAAACTCAAGATTACAAGTAGATTGTGCGTAARTACAACTTATTAAAGCTCCATATYYGARTTCGTGTAACTAAYTGCAGATAAACATAATCAAATACWRRATAAACATCTTATTTTAAATATAAAAAATCTAAAATATAATCAGGATAATCATTGAGTTCTAACAGAATACTTAATTATTATCTTTATAAAATGTTATATTATTAAACCAAAAATAAATTATTTYATTATTAAACTTAAATTAAATTATAATAWAAAAAAATTACATAAAAAATGAGAACTTTTAAATATTTGATTTTGATATTAACATTGATTTTTTTTTTTCAAATTTTTATGATATCTTCAAATTTATATTTTATTCAGAAATAAAATCATTATTTTTTTAAAAAAATATATAAAATCGTATTATAACATCGACAGAAACAAATAATAAAATAAAACATTAAAAATGAGATATGTCTCGTTGAATTGCGCGAGTACTTTTCTAGTATAATAATAATAATAATAATAATAATAAATTATTGTGTGCATGTCTACATAACAATAAATAAATAATAGGATATCAGGATAATTCATGAGATATCTGAGAATTTAAGCATCATGTGATATTTCATCTACGATTAGAATTTAATGTAGTGATTAAAATATATTTGTTTAATAATGTATTTGTTTCATATATACGTGGTTCACAAAGTGAAACTTTTAGACATGTTTGTGAAACAAAAAAATACATTTAAAATTTTTCAAACGGTGAACCGAATACATATAAAACAAATATATGTTAATCAATAATTTATATATATAGAAAAAAAAATCAACTCGAATAAAATTTTAACATAGAAAATCTTGGATCTTATAATTATTATAGAGTTGTCAATGATTAAGGGGGTGTTTGTGATTGCTTATAAAAACAACTTATTGACTTATTCCGGTGTGGCATCGGTAATAAAAAAATTTGAGTGTTTGGATAAACAACTTGTACCGGTGTCAAACCAGTAATAAAGAGTTTTTAAATAAGTTGATAAATGTTTTTATAAAAAAAATATAAGTTGTTTCAAATAAGCAATCTCAAACAACCCTAAAATCAGACAATCAGATATTTATATATTCTGAAGTCATGGTTTTGATGCATGATTGGTCATATTCGGCCAAATTTGATTTTTCCATATTCTAAAGGCATTAGGACCGTTTATCAAATACTTATCTGGACAAGTGTTTGTCGACAAAATTCAACATTGTCCACTTACTTATCAGATAAGATTTTAATCCACCAAAATGGTATCAAATGCAACAATTTACCCGATAAGCGCAAACCGTGGTAAGAGTCATCACTCTTACCCACGAGCCAAGGGTAAGACTCTCGGTATTTGTCTTTCTTCTTATTAGGTAAGATTCTTGGTATTTATCATATCCATCCGGTAAGGTGATTACTTGATAAGCGTTTACCCGAGTAAACATTTGATAAACAACCCCTTAGACATGTTTAATAATTTTCAAAAAACAGTTTTTTTAATTACATAATATTTATATACGATAAATGTAATAAATAAATTTATATCATAAATAAAAAAGGTCTTAAATTTTAAATCAATTCTTACATATTTATAACTTTTTTGCAATGCTAATTAATTTATCCCCTAACAAAATAAATAATAGATAATTAAAAACAAAATGAATAATTAATATATTGAAAAAATATATATTGATTAGGAAAAATATTATATCTATATCTATATATTACTAAAATGGTACTCGCACAATGTAATGATATACATCTCGATTTTAATGTTTTGTTTTTTTTTTGTCTCAATCGATGTTAGAATACGGTTTTATGTGGTTTTGAAAAAGCGTAATGTTTTTATTTTTAAATAAAATATAAATATGAAGATATAATAAAAAATTGATATTAATACCAAACTAACTATTTAAAATTTCTTCTTTTTTTGTGTATTTTTTTAATTATTTTTTTATTTTTGGTTTAATAATATAATTTTTGTATAAAGATAATAATTAAGTATTTTATTAGAACTTAATAACTATCCTAATTATATTTTAGATTTTTTATATTTAAAATAAGATTTTTATCTTTTATTTATTTATGTTTATCTGCAGTTAGTTACATGAAGCTTTAATAAGTTGTACTTACTTACAATTTATTTGTAATCTTAAAATTTAAGTAATATGCATTAATAAACAGTACTTCATGCATAAAAAATTGTTTTTAAGAGTTTTTGTCAAATGCATAAAGTATAGATAAAACATTTGACAAAAACTCTTAAAAACAATTTTTTTATGCATAAAGTATTGTTTATTGATGCATATTACTTAAAATTCAAGATTACAAGTA